AATCAAACACACATACATGAATACTTGCTGTATTGTGAAGGTGACTCCTGAGAATGAAGAGATGGTTTTCATTTGCTTGCTTGTTTTTTCAAGTAAATTGTGCTGGATTAATTGGGTAATTATATAGAAAAATACTAAATTGACTCCTATACATTATACAGAAATTAATTTCAAGGTGGATTATATATCTAAGCATGTGAGATAAGTCAATAGATTTTCTTTATTTTATTTTATTTTTTTCATTTTTCTTTTATTATTCATATGTGCATACAAGGCTTGGTTCATTTCTCCCCCCTGCTCCCACCCCCTCCCTTATCACCCACTCCGCCCCCTCCCGCTCCCCCCCCAATACCCAGCAGAAACGATTTTGCCCTTATCTCTAATTTTGTTGTAGAGAGAGTATAAGCAATAATAGGAAGGAACAAGGGGTTTTGCTGGTTGAGATAAGGATAGCTATACAGGGCATTGACTCACATTGATGTCAATAGATTTTCTGAAGGATAACTTCATGGATGAAGCATATTTTCTTGAATGTATACTGAGGAGCATTTTTGTTTGTTGGTCTTGGTGGTACTGGGGCTTGAACTATGGACATTACATTTGCTAGGCAGGCATTTAACCTATGCCCCCAGCCCTTTTTGCTTTGGTTAATTTTCCAAATAGTGTCTACCGTTTTTGCCTAGGGCTGGCTTGAGGTACAATCCTGTTTACACCTCCCCCTTAGCTGGAACACAGACATGTACCACCTTGCCAAACTTATTAGTTGAAATGGGGTCCCACTATCTTTTTGACAGGTTTTGCCTCAAACCACCATCCTGTGGATCTCTGTGTACAGAGTAGCTAGAAATATATCCAGACTATACCCAGTCCCCTGAAGAACATTTTAAAAAATGGGATGCCAAACGTGCTAACCATAGAGAGTACATTCAAAGTGGGAATTTCTTTCTCTAATGAAGGACTTTATTTAAATTAGGAATTTCTTTTCCTTAAAAGACTTTATTAAGATTCAGGGGATATTTACAATACATATAATCACCAAAGTGATTACATCCAAATTATATAAACAACTTATATAAAATATGTAAATGATAAAATAGTTAAAATGGGCAAAAATGAATATGCATTTCACAAAACAAAATATCCAACTGGATAATTAACATGCAAGCAAAGCATTCTTAATCATCATAGAAATGCTAATTAAAACCACAGTGTTCACTTAAAAGAATAAGTACAATTAAAGGGGCTGATTGTTTTAATTTTTGACAAGTTTGTGTAGCACCCATATTTCTCATGTAATGCTGGTAAGGCTATAACTTTTTACAGTGGTTTGGAAAAATTGACAGTGTCCACAAACACTTAAGCATACAAATACCTTATGATTCAGTACTTTTACTCTTACCCAACAAGGATGCATATGCATTTATGGGCACTAAGTGCTGTGTACTAGAGTGTTCATTGCAGCATTAATTAAAATATTTAAAAAGTGGAAATAAAGGTATAACCACAGTAGAATGGATAAACTAAGGGCAATTTCTACAACAGAATACTATACACCAATAAAAGTGAATCAACTATTGCTGTATACAACAACATAAAAGAATTCCACAAATAAGATGTTGAACAAAGGATGTCTGGCACAAAATAATGTGCACTGTATAATTCCTCTTATGTCAGTTTCACAACCAGACAAAACTAATCCATACTTAATGATAGTGATAATTTTGGAGAGGTGTAGTTTTGGGAGTCACAGAAAATTTAGAGATGCTGATAATATTTGATCTTATGACTTAGGAGGTAGTTATCAAAATATGTTCATTTTGTTATAATCCATAAATTTGTGTTTACATAATCTGCACACCTGTATGTATTACTTTAAGAATTTTATTTCAAAGAAATATATTGGTTTGTAGCTTCCCTCCCTAGCAATTGATCTAATTGTATTAAGCTATGAATGTGGATGATTGACATTGAGAAAGTGATCATGTTCACTGGGAAACTCTAAAATTTCATAAGTATTATAAACATTGATATACTATATACTTCTTAAATAATGACTGATAAATATATATTGAAAAGCTTTGGAAGTTAATTTTTACAATGGAGAATTACGAAGACTGGTTCATTTTAGTTCACATTTCATGTGAAATATGACTTTAAATGTTTTTCAATTAATGTGTATGTAAATCTTACAGTGTACCTTGCACTTATGAAAACTGAAATGATACCATATGTGGAGAAGCTTTGCTTTTCAGCTCTTTTGAGAATAGTAAAGGCAATAAACATAATTTTAATGTATATATTTGTTTTCTAGTATGAACGTGTTCTTTGAAGTTGCTCCAGTAATACTTTCTTGGATTATGCATGCTCTTTGAATAGTGACATAGGAACTTTGTGTTTTCTTTTTTATGGTATATGTGTGTGTGTGTGTAAGCTTTTCTTATTTGCCACATTATTTTCATTTGGTGTCAAAATGGAGATACTCAAATATACGACCATATTTAAGGCTTTTGATTCATATTACCCAGTTATTTCCCAAAGTGTTTTTGTCTTTTTAAAAGTTTACTTATTTTATTTTTTATGATTTTATTAGCATATAATTGTTGTACCAAGGGATACATTATGATATTTACATATGTGCTTACAATGTATCTTTGTTAGATTTACCCCTTTCATCATTCTCCCTCCTCCTCCTTTCCCCCTCTTACAACAATTTCAACAGGTTTCATTCTTCTGTTTTCATATATGGAAACAAAACATATTCACCATATGCACCCTCATTCCCCCGTTCCTTGTGCCCATCCCTCTCCCACTGGTACCCACCCCCAGAAAAGATTTACTTTTCCTTCCTGCCCTTCATTTAAAAAAAAATTAAGTGTATATTGATAGTCCAAGGGGGTTTTCCCTTGGTACTTCAGGTCTGTATCTATTGTGCTTTTATCATATTACCCCCTCCCTTCCATTACTGACTTAGTCTTTCTCTATATATGCACATATATATGTATATATGTAGAGAGAGAGAAAAGAGAGAGAGATAATGACAGAAAAAAATTGTGTTAGTCTTTCTGAGGAGGTTATGGGAGATAGGAGAAAGAAAGAAAATGTTAGGGAATGAAGTATCGAACAACCCATTTATGTATGAAAAAATGCACTGTATAGGGATCTCTCTCTCTCTCTCTCTCTCTCTCTCTCTCTCTCTCTCTCTCTCTTCTTCCTTCTCTTTTTCTTTTCTTTTTTGGTGCTGGGATCAAACCCAGGCCCTCGCACATGCCAGGCAAGTGCTCTACCACTGAGCTACATCCCAGTAGCTTTTTTACTGATGCTGTTTTTATTTTTGATCTCTACTAAAATGTAAAAATTAGGTCTGGGAGCATGGCTCAAGTGGTAGAGTACCTGCCTTGCAAGCATGAGGCCCTAAGTTCATACCCTGGAATTGCCAAAATAAATTACGTATATGTATATGTGTGTGTGTATATATATATACGTAATACATATACGTATATATATATATATATATACACACACACACATATAAATCATATAATATAATGCATTATAATATGTAATATATAATTATATGTAATTATTTGTATCACTTCTAGAAGAAAGGAAAAATGGAAATGTCAGCAATTGAAACAAATGCCATGGCTTGTTTTGAGTTAATAATTTTATATAAAATAGCTTGCTTTCCTCTGCTTCCTTTGTTGGCACACTTATACTGAATTAACATTATATACTAAATTTAATTCTATTGTGACCTTACTAAATAAACTTTTTTACTAGAACATTTTTAATTGAAATAATATTCATTTGCTTCTTTTTCTTGTTTGATTAAAAAAATACAAATGCATATTGTTATTTACCATCTGTTTTCTGTTTTCTTTAAGCTGCTTCTGCTTTGTGTGTGTGTGTATCTTAGTGTCTATTAATATTTTAAAATACTACCAGTAGATTTCAGAAGTAACCATTTGTCTTATTTATAAACTTAGTCTAGAAAACAAGTTAATGAAATAATTTAATTTTTAAACTATGTGTCTCTAGTAATAGACACCGAGTCATAAATGAATAAAGGACTTTGTTATTGGGCTGGAAATATATGTTGGTTGTACCAGCTTGTGGCTGGTGATTTAGGCATTTACTTAGCAACCGATCCAATTTATATCACTCTGAACTTGTACTCATGGTAGTCTTTAGACTACCAAACTCATTTCCTTCCGCTCTCTGCTTCACTGTGCTACAGATACCAGTATGGCCTTCTTGCTGCTTCACCAGCATCCCAAGCACATTTCTATCTCAGTGATTTTCCCAGTACACTGTGCAGATTCATGTTTCCTTAAACCCTCTCCCCCCTGACACCAGAATATATAGTTCTCTTAATTTTCACTTTCAAGAGGCATTCTCTTTCCTCTAATGTACTAACCCCCATCATTCTCTACTCTTATTCTCTGTTTCACTTTTTATTTGTGATTTATACATTTCATAGTAAATATAAGCTCCATGAGGTTAGGGACTTAATTTATTTCACTGCTGTGTTTCCAGCACTAAGAACTGTGGTACACAGTAGGACTGTATTATATAGGCATAAAATATAAAAAACAGTTTCAGTCTACATGGCTCAGTTCTTAGTCAACTCTGCAGAGTCCATCCACTTATTCTCTAAAACATACAGGATTTTTGTTACTTTCAGCATGACTCCATTTGTAGAGATTAACAGTAAATTTTAAATAAGCTCCAGTATTACACAATAAACTTCTAAACTTGTTATCCTTTAAAGGAGGAGAAAAAAGAGAAGTGGGAAGGGAAATAATATACATAGTATTTAGCTTTGTCTTTTATGAAGTAAATAATGATGAAAAATAATATTTGCTCCAAATTGCCTTTGCTTCTATCTTTGATAATTTAGAAATATGGTGATAACCACTTAAAGTTACAGACTTGTAATTGGTTTTCATTTTGTTCTTTCCTATTTATATCTCTTTCCACCCCACCTTACCTTTATTTAGAATCCAACTCAAGTCGGAACAGCTCTTCAGGTTTTCCATAATCTTGGAACTTTAAAGGATACTATTGCCAGTGTCGTGGAAGGATATTGTGCTACATTAGAAGAAAATATCCACAGTGCATTAGACATCAAAGCTTTGACTCAGCCTTCCCAGTCAGCTGTGAGAGGTATGGATGTGGTTTATATTTACCTTCCTTATTTATTTATAACTAAGAAGTTCTTTGAATAGTATGTGAAGCACTCATATTTCAAAGCAATCTAATGACTCATTTTTAGTAGACAGAAAATGAGAGAAGAAATTATGTTTCAGAACTTATTTTTAAAATGTTTTAAGATAATCAGGGAGTTGAACTAGCCATTTGGTATATTAAGAACTTCTCAATAAAGATGTATAAACTGTGGCATCATTTAGTTGAGAGGAAACAGATGCAAAAAAAAAAATACCCATATTTTTCTTTCTGAAGTTCTTATCCTCACATGTACTTTTTATTGGCAAAGAAAATATTTAGGGGCCTGATGGAGTGGCTCAAGTGGTACAGCACCTCTCTGGTAAGCATGAGGCTCTGAGTTCTAACCCCACTACCATCAAAAAAAAAAAATCAAAACCAGAAAATATTTAGGAAAGGCATCTCCATTTTAGTGTTTTACACTTTTCTTTTTAATAATTCTTATACTCAAGAGCAGTAATGGCTGAGGAAGTAAAAAATAACCACAACTATGGCAAAATATAAAGGAAAGTAGATTCAAGGGTAAGTTAGCAGTTTGCACTCTTCCTTGCCAACATGCATGACATTATATGATATACTTCTGCATTGAAGGTAGAAAAAAAATCACACATTATATGCACCTCTCACTTAATTGCTTCAGTTCCATCTTTTATTTCTTTCCTATGTTCTTTCTTCTCTTCTTTTAGTATAGGTGAACTATGCTTTCTCCTAGGAAAGACTGTTCTACTTGGGCATTTGATCACTTCACTTCAGGGTATTGTTTCAGCAGATAGATGGCTTCTCTTTGCCTCATTGTCAATTTTTCCTTCTCTGTATCTCTTTTCTATCATATTCAATTGTTTTATTGTATCTCCTTTTGCTTAAAAATAAACAAATCTAACTTGGCTTTCAATTTCTTTCTTCAGCTCTACTATCCCATTTTATTTTGTCAGTCTACAAAAAAATCTGTTCAAATTGTTGTGTATGTTTATTATGTCCAGTTTTTTTCTTCCCACTTTTGTATTTAAGATGTTCTAATCATTACGAGTTATTCTAAAGAATAAATGAAATAACTCATGTAGAATTAATAACAGTTCTTGATACATGTCTATACAAAGAGATTTGCAGTCATTTATTGTTATCTCTATATTTGCCATAAAAATGTGATCTTAAGTAACACTGAGTATATATATATGTATATATATATATATACATATATATATAAACTCATAAATAAGCTACACTAGATAAAGAGAGGTAAAAGAATCTTGGGTCCTAAAGAGAGTCTCAAAGGTTATCCTTAGCCTCTGAGTAGGTCCATATTAAGACTATTCCAGAAGGAGATTTTTGAAAAGAAATCACCAAGGGAGATTTTACTCTCAACTTTCCCAGCAATTATTTTCAGAAAGTTTGATTTAATGTTTAAATTTACATGAGGAGTTTAATCTCATTCTCTCTTGTGTTGTCAAGAATAAGGGGAAAAAATGAAAGCAGTTACTCACACGGCTGTCAGTCTTAATGTAGGCCTCTTTTGTAAAAGAATAAAGAGTTTAAAGCCAGCTTATTATCATTTGTTGAAGAGTAGATACCTTGATTTAATGTAGAATCCTTAGGCATGCTTAGGCATCAACTCCTTGTTCTTTTAAAAGAATAATCATATTTTTATTTTTAAAATGTTGCATGGTATTAATGTTAATTTTTTCATCTTGTTTATATTGAGATTATGTGGAGTATTCATTTTGTTGAAAATACACATTAAAAGTATTGAAGGATGATGGAGCATCATGTCAAAAACTTGCACGTAGTTCAGGAAAATTTTTTGTAATACTTGGCAGATTTTCTACAGATTTAAGACTGTTTCAAAGGTTAAAAATACAACAGTACAATGTTAAGAGAAAATATTACCTTGAATGTATAAAAAAGCTTATTGCTCAATAAGAAGTTAAACAACTTAATTGAAAAAGTGGACAAGACATCCTGGCATGGTAGTGCCTATCTGTAATCCCAGCCCTCATGAGGCTGAGGCAGGAGCATCTGGGCACATCAAGACCCTGTCCCAAGAGAAAAACAACAAAAGGGTGAAGACTATGAATAGGCAAGTCACAGAGCATATGAAAGAAACTAATGGGAGATATTCAAAATCTTTGTAGAGGATGAAACTGCAAATTAAAATACAAATTAAACAAGGTGATATTTCTCAAGAAACTGATAGTCAGAATTGAAGACAGGGTTTAGTTTTATGTTAAAGAATTCTGGGACTAAACAGATTTTTATGCCACACATAGATAATTGTTCTTTTATGGATGTCCAAAAGATTTTTCGTTGGTAAAAGTTTAGTAACTTTTAGGCTGTATCTGGGTTGAACGCTCTGCATCAGTTTTTTCTTTTTCATTACTGGGATTTGAACTTAGGTCTTCATGCTTGCTAGACAGGTGCTCTACCACTTAAGCCATACCTCCAGTCCTTTTTGCTCTGATTTAGAGATAGGGTTTTGTTTTTGCCCAGGCAGGCAAAAACTATTTTACTATTTTATGCTTCCCATCGTAGCAAGTGGCACCACACCCAACTGTGTTCCCATTGAGATGAGGTGTCACAAACTTTTCCCCCACAGTCTGGCCTAGAACTGCTATCATCCTGATCTCAGCCTTCCTTGAAGCTTGGGATAACAGGTACATGGTACCAGGCCTAGCTATTGGTGAGATAGGGTTCTCGAGAACTTTTTGTTGGTGGGGGGTTGTGCCCCCGCCCCGGCCTCAAACTTGATCCTCCCAATCTCACGTCCTAAGTATCTAGAATACAGGCGTAAGTCATTGGTGCTCTGCTGTACCAATTTTTTTTTTAATTAGAATGTGTACCCTTGTAGAGAGGAGTTTTTTTTTTTTAATTGGATATTGGTTTTTTTTCTGTTCCATTTGTTCTTTTTAGGAACTTTAATGATGCATATATCAGATTTTTGTTTTCCATGTTTAGTATCTTCTCCATAGGTTTGTTTTGTTTCATTTTTGTTGGTACTGTGGTTTGAACTAAGAGCCTTAGCCTTGCTAAGCAGACACTCTACCACTTGAGCCATGACCCCAGCTCCTCCATAGTTTTTTTGATGTCATTGTACTTTATTTCATTTTGTACGGGAAATGTTGTAGAACAAACTTATTTACCTCAGAGTAGCCTGAAAACACAGAGAGTGGAAGGGGCCATCATCAAAATATATCCTTTAAGCTATCCACTCCTGAACCTGCTTCATCTAGTTAGGCCCCACCTCCTAATGGTCTACCACCTCCTAATGGTCTACCACCTCCCAATAGTTCACTAAAACATAACTCAGTCAATGGAGTGAACTAATCCATTGATAAGGTATGCTTCTGATCCAATCATGTCCCAAAGCCCTACTTCTGAACACTGCTCCATTGGGGACCATATGTTTAATACATGAGTATTTGAGGGGGCATTTCAGATTCCATCCATAACAGTGAATAACCAACCATCCTCTTTGTTTCTTTGGGGAATTCCTTTAGTAACTTAGGTTTGTCATTGGTTTTAGCTTATTCTTCCTTTCCTCTCCCATCCCCACTATCTATGTTATGTCCAGTGTTGGCTTTGTTTCTGTTTAACTTGGGAGCACATCTTTCCTCAAATTCTGGACCATTCAAGAACTTAGTGTGGTTCCCAGTAAAAAGCCATTTCTTTAGTGTTCCATCCCCATAACTTTCTCTTACTTTAACTCTGGTAGGCTCCTCATGCTAGAGGGTTAATTATGTGATGTAAATACCATTTTATTGTGGTTTCTCTTCAACTTTTCTTTGCCATTCTGCAGTGTTGAACTCTTTGCTTGCTTTGTCCCTGGCCCATCTTTGCCTGCAGACCTCAGCTTTAGTCAAAGAATCATTAGATAGATGATCCACATTTTTATAGTTGAGTTTTTATTTTTTCAGGGCCTTTTAGAATTAGGTCATTTTATTTTCATTCCTCAAAACAAAACAGTCTACCCATATGCTCCATCAAGCCTGTAGCTCTCGCTTTAGGCACAGACCAGAATTTTGTTTTAGCTCCTTCTCTCACCAGGTATATGGCCTTTCTGAGAACTTTTTTGAGGCTTGGTTCCTTCATCTGTAAAATAAGAGCAAGAGCAAAAAAATGTTGTGAAAATAAAGGAGAAAATACTTGTGTCAGTCAGAGCAATGACATGAAGATTCCTTTTATTCTACTTCGGACTATGTACAAGTTCACAGATTTTTGGGGTCTGCCCCATGGCCTCCCAGCAGTCAGCAAAGAGCACTCACTACCTATCCCAACCAGACCATTCCCAAAGAGATAGAGCCTGGTTCTCAGTTCTGCATCACCATGGAGATACCAATTATCCGACTCCATCCAGACTGTCTGAATCAGAATCCAGCCTTAGAGTCCAGCACTGTTTTAGCAACATGCTGTGTTAAGCTTTTTGTTGCTGTGACAAATATCTGAGTAAAACAGTATAGAGGAAGAAAGATTTATTTTAGCTTATGGTTTGGTCCATGGTTAGCTGGCTCTATTGCTGAGAGAGCCTGAGATGAAGCTGAACATCATGGTAAAGAGCATATGGTGGAGCAAAGTAGCTCACCTTATGGTAGCCAGGAAGCAGAGAGGAGTAACAGGAAGAGACCAGGACTAAGATATACCTTTCAAAGCCATGACTCTAGCTATCCACTTCCTCTAACAAGGTTCCACCCTCCACAGTTCCACCACCTCCCCATATCCCAGTAGTCTGTTCAGATTTTGTATCTATCAATAGATTGAACTACTAATTAGATGAGAGTCATCATAATCTAATCATCTCTGGAATGTCCTCAGAGACACATCCAGAGGTGTGCCTTATCTTCTAGATATTTCTTAATCCAATCATTTTGACAATTAGGATTAACCATCACACCTCTCTTCTAGGTCACATTGAGAACCCCAGATTTTGAGGATGATCACCCTACCTAGATCATTGCTCTATCATTATCTGCCCCATAATCTATAAGTTCTTCTGATTCCTTTGTTTTTCATTAACTTGCCCCCTCCAGTATTTCCTGTTGTCCATAGGATTGCAGAAATTTTCTACTGGAGCTAAATTCTAACCATAGATAGGAGACAGAAAAAATTCTTTCGGGTCATTGAGTAACTAACAGCACCCCAAAGACACTTCATCATCTCAGATGTATTAAGTCGTTTTGTAGGGCTAGAAGATCTGTCTCCTGCTAATTGGCTAACTTATCAGCTATCTGGTCCCTTCCTCATTTTGATTTATCTATAGAATTTGGTATGCATGCTTTAGAATCTCAAGTTTGAAGTTTTATTCGATTCCTTGTTTCTTTGACGTATATTTCCCCCCTATTTTTGTTTGTTCTTATTCTTACTGACTTTTAAAAGAAGAATAGGAAAATGATTTTACTCCACTATCATTAGCTAGAAATTACCCTCAAGTGTTATTTCTTTAAGGATTTGTTACTTGCCACTTTAATAAAACCTAATTTATGATATAATCAATTTTGATTTTTGGGTCTATTAAAGCTAAATGATTGTGTTAGTTTGTGATTTAGATTATTCTTTCTTTTGCTTCCTTTATACAGCTATTCTGTGTTCAGTCAGTAGATTATTTCTGTTATCTTATATTTTCAACAGTTGTATTTAGCTTATTAGGAATAAAAATCTTTACTTTGTGTTAGCTTTGCAATCACTAAAATATCTGAGACAAAAAATTTAAAAGTAGAAGTCGGGCACCAGTGGCTCATGCCTGTAATCCTAGCTACTCAGAAGGCAGAGATCAGGAGGATCGCGGATTGAAGCCAGCCCTGGGTGATTAATTCCACGAGACCCTATCTTGAAAATACCTAACACAAAAAAGGGCTGGTGGAGTGGCTCAAGGTGTAAGCCCTGAGTTCAAACCCCAGTACCACTAAATAAATGAACGAATGAATGAATGAATAAATAAATGTAGAAAAGATTTATTTTGGCCTATGGTTTCAGTCCATGGTTGTCTGGATCCATTACTTTTAGGACTGTGGTGATGCAGAACATCTTGGCAGTGGAAGTGGACATGGCTGCCTACTTCATGGTGGTCAGGTAGCAAAGAGTGAGAAGGAAGATGTAGAGGGACAAAATGTACCCTTCAAAGCCACATCCCCAGTGACCTTCGAACTAGGCCCTACCTTCTAAAGTTTCTACTACCTTCCAAGAGCACCATCAACTGGAGAATAAGCCATCAACCATGAACTTTCAGGGACATTCAAGATCCAAACTATAACATTCCACCCCTTGCCCCCAAAGGCTCATGTCCCTCTCACAGTGTAAAATGCATTCAGTTCATCTCCAAGGCTTCTTGTAATCTTAACAGATCCAGCATTGCTCAGAGTTCAAGTTCATTGTCTCCTGTGAGATTCAAGACAAACTCTTAGATATAAGCCCCTATAAAAAGTCAGAAAACAAGCTATATTCTTCCACCATATATTGGCATAAAGTAAACATTCCCATTCTAAAGGGGAGGAATGAGACTAAAGCAAGAGAGAAACCCAAGAAGGCAAACATTCTTTATCTCCAGGTCCAGCATCTGGAGCACATGGTGGGACGATGTGAGCTCTAAAAGGCTTGGGCATCACCAGCCCTAAGGTCTGCCAACTGCTACCTACAGGGCCTCTCCCTTGGGCTGACACTGCTTCTTGCCTATGGCTTTCCTTCACTTATCTAACTACTGAAGTGTCTGTTGCAGTTTCATCTTTAGTCTCATTGCTTCATTGTATCACTCTATGAGGGGCTGCCCATAAGAAGTTTGGCCTTGTTTCATGTACACTCTGTGACCTCCCCAGACTTTCTTTTGAAATCTGAATTGAAATCTCTGTGATCCCACAATTGTTTCATTCGACATGCCTGTAAAACCAGGATCATGTGGACAATACCAAGGTCTGCCACCTGTTCAAGTAGTAGCTAGGCCAACTTGGACCATGACTGCAGTGACCTCTGAGTGCCTGGATAGCTGAATATGGTGAAACAAATCATGGGGAAACAACTTTCGAGACAACCCCTGCAAATGGGCACCCCAGCACTCTCTTAAAGCAGTTTTTTAAATGAGTATACTTTTATACCCTTGTGCCTGCAATGGGTGGTGTCCAGGCAATTCCTGAGATGCCCTTAAACTGTCTTTCCTATTACTCTGGTGTAAAGTACTTGGCTTTTTAATTTTTTTTAATGGTGCTGATCTCTTCAGCACCTATACCCTCTTTGGCCTCAACTTTAAAAAACTTGTTCCTTTACCAGCAAAATGACAAAATTTTCAGATCTTTCTACTCTGGTTTTTATTCCTGATTCTTCCTACAGATATGCAGTCAGTAATACTGTTTGACAGTTTGAGTGCTGTGCTTGAAATTTCTTGCACCAGATTTCTTGATCCATCAGTTTAAACTCAGTCTCTGAGTTTCTGGATATAGACAAAATGTGGACAAGTTGTTTGCCAGAATGTGACATGATTGGCCTCTAATCCATTTCCCAATAGAACCCTCATTTTAATCTGCAACCTCATGAACCTGGCTGTGAGTATCTGCATTCCTATTGGCATTCTGGTTTTTGAGTTCCACTGGAATCACCCAAAAAACAATTTCTGTTCCTTTTAAATGTCTGATTTTCTCTGTGAACTAATGATTATTTTTTGAGTCATTTAATTATCTGTTGTCATTAGTGTAACTTTGTATGGTCAAATTTTCCCCCAATTTGTTTTGTGGAAACCCCTCCAGTCTTGTTTTTATATCCTTGTAATAAATCTTTTATCTTTGAACACTTCTCTGCACTGTGGCACAATAGGTTCCAGGTCAACTTGTATTTTCATGATTGCACAAGAAATCTCTCTTTTTCTCTTAGGAGCACTGGTCAGTTAGTTGACTTTTTTTTTGTTGTTGTTTTTTTCAGTACTGGCGTTTGAAGTCAGGGCCTCATACTTGCTAGGCAGGCACTCTACCACTTGATCCACTCCTCCAGCTCTTTTTTTTGTGTTGGGTATTTTCAAGATAGAGTCTCTCGAAATACTTGCCCAGGCTGGCAAACCTTGATCCTCCTGATCTCTGCCTCCCGAGTAGCTAGGACTACAGGCATGAGCCACTGGCACCTGGTCAATTGGTTGGCTTTTTGAGGGGGATCAGAGATAGTACTTAGTAATAACAATTTGGATACTAGATATGCTTATTACTATTGAGGAGTCATATCTCACTGCTTCCCTAGTAGACAGAGTTTCAAAATACCCATAATCCCCATTGTATACTTGTGCCTTTATTCTATTAACTCTATTCTAAAATATACCTAAACTAGTTGCAGGATTATTATGGCACTACCACATACAGCAAAAAACCTAGTAAGTTCACTATTTCTTTGTAGTTCTTTTTGCCTATAAAATATACTGACTAAGGTCAGTGTTCTGTGATTAAGGATAACTTGAATTGTTTTCTCCCATGTCATTGTATTAATTTGGTGTATAGGTGGAGTGAGCTTTCTCTGGCTCCCTTGTTCTCCTGACCTAACTGGCCTAACTGGGGTGACTGGAGATGCAGAAAGGACAAACGATAGACAAACATGCATAAAATTGGGGCCAGGTGTGCTGGGTGCTTGGATGGAGACACAGAACAGCCTGGTTGCTTCTTTTCTCTTATTATTCTCTTCATTTACTTTGCTTCTTTTCTTCTCTATTCTTTAAGGCCTCACTCCTTTACAGTTCTTTAAAACCTCGCTTCTAAAGTCTTCTTTTCTGTCTTTCCTTAGACTCGCACTATCCCATGTTTTCTTTAGCATAATCTCTCTTACAGTCTTTTCCCTCAAACTTGCACTGTCCCATCAGACTTGCACTGTCCTGTGTTCTCTCTTTAGCTTTCTTAAAGTCTCAATGCTCAGACAATAGCAGCTGTGTTTAAAAACTGCATTAGCATAACTCTTAAAGTCTTGGTCCTTAGGCTTGCACTGTCCTGTGTTCTCTAGCTTTTCTTTAGCTTAGCTTTTCTAAAGCCTATGTATAAAGTTCTCAGTGCAGACTTTCACTGTCCCATGTTCTCTTTAATCTTTAGCATAACTCAGCAGCCCACCAGCAGTGTCATTCTCACAAGCAGCCCACCAGTCAATCCATCCCCCATCAAAAAGCCCATGTCCTCCTTCAGCGAGTCTTTTATATCCAGTGGTAAACAAGGAGGTGGAGCAACAGTTCTCAGGTAGGGGTGTGACATTGTAACAAGAGAAACCTGTATTCCTATTTCTCTGAATGGAAAAAACTTAGGAAAAGCAGCTGCACTGCATTCTGCCTCGCTCTTTTCTGTGGCTGGGGCTGTATCAAACTCAGCCTGTCACTGAGCTGTTCTTATGCCAAATTCTCATAGTCTTCTCATGATCTGCTCCCCACATATAGGTATTTTCATTTGTTTCTATAAATATTTGAATTCAGTTTTAGGGCTTGGTTTTTTCATTGTTTTTAAATTTGCTTTTGGAAAATTGAAAGTGTTTGTATGGATACAAAATATTTTTGGAATATGGAAAACATTTGTGTAAGTTACTGCTATCCCTGTATCTTTCACTTGGTTTTGTTTCCCACCAATCTCATCCCCTTTAAGGATACCATTTTTTATTAATTTACTTTGTCCTCATGGGAACATGATTTTCACTAGTGTGTTGTTTCCCTTTCTTAAACACAAAAGGTTAATGATTCTTTTTTTATATTACTCATAAGAAATTATTTCTTAAACTTTTTTTTGGCTTTTGTATTCTTTTCAAAATAACACACATTTTGTTGTATTTGGAAATTCCAGTCATATTTCTTTGTCACTTGTAAGCAGGGGGTCCTGGACGATCTACCATGCCAACCCCAGGAAATACTGCAGCTTTTCGTGCTTCCCTCTGGACCAATATGGAGAAACTTATGGATCTTATTTGTGCTGCTTGTGGACAGGTAAATGTTTCAGGGGATGAAAAGAACATTAACTAACTCCTGGTTGTTCCAAGTTGTGTGATTTTGGAGCAGGTCTTTTAAAATATCTGATCATTCAAAATACCTTTGTTAGCTTATTACAATGCATAAGCATGTTTGTAGTAATAGATGGGAGTGGTAAGGCTATTGATTAATTTCTGAAATGCACTTGATTTTTCTAATACCTAAGCTTTGTGTTTGTTTCATTTGGAAAAACCCAATTATGTATATTTTCCCTCTCCCTCCCACCATCCCTTTTAGGTACAACATCTACAAAAAGTATTAGCAAAGAAGAGAGATCCTGTTTCTCACATTTGTTTCATTGAAGAAATAGTTAAGGTATGTTGAAATGAAGATATTTTTCTATGTTTTTTTTTTTTGCAGAAACAGGAAGATATACACCAGTCTCTTTGTGTTATAGCCTTACAGAGTGGTGCATGTCAAATTGTAATAGGGAAATGTACTGACAACTGTAAATTTTCTTTGGAATATAAATTATATAAGCAGTTTGTGGGCTAATTTTTTAAGTGTACTACTGATTTCTCATTTTCTGTCATATAAATGATTATAATGTTTTAAAAGCCTTTTACTAGAGCATGAGATAAAAATTTTTGGTAAATAAATTTATATAGTGGGCCATTATAATATGTTCATTTAAGGAAGTAACATTCCATTGTTATACTCATTTCCCATGTTCTGAAATCTCCCTTCTATCATTCACCAATCTGCCAGCCCCATGGGCCATTATTTTTTTTCCAAGTATAGGAATCTCTGATTCTACATCTTATTCATTAATTTTGATACATTTTAATAATCAATAAAATAATTATTATTCTATTATTATAATTATAGTTAATTAATAATTATAATTATTATTCTATTGATTATTGAATCCTAACACCTAATACTCCATAGGAGAGCAAATTGATAAGTTTTCAGTATCACGGTTTCCTTTGTAAATGGAATGTTTTATATACTGTATTGAGGTTCTCCAAGATTAACCTGAAGTTCAGTGATTTACTGGGAAGAATCACAGGACCCTAACTATAGCTATACTCATGCCTGAGATTGGTGAACGGATATAAGGGAAAATCAGCAAAGGGAAAAGGTATGTGACGCCAGGTACAGGAGAAAACAGGTACAAACCCTGAAGAGTCCTCTTCTGCTGGGAGATATAAGATCTTTTTAATCCCTCCAGCACCAAGTTTTGAGAGCATGCATGAAATGTTGTCTACCAGGAAAGTTCTCCTTGAGGCTTTAGACCAAGGTTTTTATCAGGGGTCAGTTACTGCTTAATATGTACCAAAGTTCTAGAAAAAGAAAAGTAGATGTTTAGCATAAATCACATTGTTTGCCCAGTTTAGAAAAGGTGAGTAACTCTTAACACTTAAAGAATCATGGGGTTCCTTTCAAAACCCCAATTTTCCAGATGCCAGCCATGGACCCACCTTGCAAACAAGTTTTTCTGCAGCATCTCAGACCTATGATGTTCCCTCTTTTCTGTACATATTACATTAGTATCTGTCTGCATAATTTACTCGACTTTCTACTTAACTTTCAGTTGTGGGAAAGAATCAAATTTGTCAATTTGTATAGCCACTTAATTTTTTGCATTTATATAAGTAAGTGGGATAAAAGTATAAGACCATCATATTTATAGGCAGAGAATTTCACATGCAGTGTTTTCATTCATTTGTTCTGATTTGAGCTACCTTTCCATACAAATTAATTCACTTAGTCTTCGTGAGCAGTGGTCTCACTTCAAAGTTTTACTATCTAATTCTTTTTATTTTTAATTCTTTATTTTTGGCAGTACTGAAGTTTGAATTCAGGACCTCAAGCTGTCTTGGCAGGCGTTCTACCACTTGAGCCATACCTCCAGGCTTTAATTCCTTTTTATAGTTTAATACTCTGTACAAAACATAAGAACAATTCAAATGAAACCATTATATTCAAGAGATAGTAAAGAAAAGATTAAAAATAAAGAATAGTGCTATTAAAGAGGTTTATTTTATGATACTCTGACATCAGGCAAAGTTTCTACATAAAATCTCATCTTTTTTTTTTTCTTTTTTGTGTATGGTACTGGGGTTTGAACTTTGGACCTACATCTTGAGCCACTTCACTAGCCCTTTTTAGTGAAGGGTTTTTTTTCGAGATAGGGTCTTGCAAACTGTTTGCCTGGGCTGGCTTTGAACTGCAATCCTCCTGATCTCTCTGAGTAGTGAGGATTACAGGTGTGAGCCATCAGCAGTGTCCGGCTTCATCTCAGTTCTTGACACAATAAATTATTATGGTAAATGAACACTGGCAATTTGTGTAGGCCAAATTTTAGATGCATTTGGCCTATATGTTATTATCTATTTAAAAAGATTACTGAGAATAAGAATATATGCTTTCATTTTATTTATTCATCTAATTTGTATCCAAAATTTCTTATTTAATTAGAATAACACCATAAAATTGCTCTTTTCAAAGAGGAGTACACATGCCTATTTATATTGATATATAAGTATTATTTTAACATTTTTGAGATGAGATCTCACTGTGTAGCCCAGGCTTGCCTAGAACTCTATGTAGCTCAGGCTGTCTTTGAACTGGAGATCCTCCTGCCTCATCCCCTGAGTGCTAGGATTACAGGCATGTACCTCCATACCCAGCGATTTATACAGAAATTGTAATGTAAATTGCCAGTTTAGTTGATATTTGTTCTTTTGGTGGTAATATTTATGGAAAAATTTAATCCGTCTTGGAATTCAATGCACCTATGTATTTTTAGGAAGGATCAGTCTTTTGTGAAAAGTCCAAAATAACTTTTGACTCTACATACTTGGGAATTTCAAGGCAAGAGAGTAGCAAAAGAACTCAAAAGCAAAATGTTCATCATGTATTGCAAAGATAAAAAAAAGTGTTTATAAAAAAATGTATTGCAAAGAGAGAACCTAAGTTATATTTATCTTTTCCTTGAAATATATCTTTATTATAAAGATATAAACAAATTTTTTTAGCTGGTTGTACCTATAGTCCCAGCTACTCAGGAGGCTGCAATAGGAATATCACTTGACCCAGAAGTTTAAGACAAACATGGTCAAAGTAGTGAGACTCCATCTCAAAAGTAAAACAAAACAGAAGGGATTAAATATTCTTGCTTATTATATAATTACCAAATAAGGACATTATTATTCTAGTTCACATAATTACGAAGGGCAGTACATACAGCCTTTATAAAAAGTTCAGGGTTTTAAGAATGATTCGGGGTCTCTAAATCATGACCCTTACATACTTGAGGTAACATTGAACTTGAGTAGATGATGATATGTATCTTGAGTCATGGAAGATCCTCATCTGGACCAAGATTTCTAAGTCTTTGTAATCACTTTCAAACAAAAGGTTATGAGCTAAAGTATTCTTGTTACACTATTAGCTTTAGCATTTTCAAGACTTTTTAAGAAAGAATATATACCTTTTTCACTTACTAGGTTAACCTTCTAAGCCTGTGTATATATATTTTAAAAATGATATAAAATAGTTGAATAATTCTGGATGAAAATGTTAGTAATTAAAAAGCTGCATTAATAGCTTCTTTCTCTTTGGTTTATAATATAGAATATGAAAAAAGTTATACTAATACTACTTAGGAAAACTAAGAGTCTCTTTTTCAGATTTCTTTGTTTTGAAACCATTTGGTTCCAATGCTTTTGTAATTCACAGTAAGGTATGATGGGATTTCTGTTTTTGATGTCTTCGTGCCAGCTTCTTTATTTCTATGAAACCTTTATTTTTGCATTTTCCTTTGTTAAATGATTTTAATAATTATTTCCTTTTGATGTAGTTCATTGTCTACAGATATTCTTAAATATTAGTGATTTTAATTAAATTAATTCATGTACTGGGGGAGCTATGATAGGATCTTGGTAAGCAGCTCAGGTTGGCCTAAAACTTATTCTTCTCTTGCCTTAGCCAGATCATGTGCTTCCATGCCTGGCTCAATAGTCTGAAATAATTTTCGTAAGAGTAAGTATAGATTTTTAGCATTTGGAAGACTGAATCTTAAAGGTCTCCTTTTTTAACACCTGTTAAACAATGTCAAAGGCAGGATAGTATAGTAAGAACTTAAGCTTTGGTATCACACCAATCTCAGCTTTGTCAATACAGATTATGTAATTCTGAGAAGATAATATAATTTTTCAGAACCTTGGATACTAAGTGGAGATGATAATACTACCTGTAGAACTGAGGTATTATAAGGAAAATGAAATAAACTGAAGATTTAATTCAGAGTGACTCAATAATTTGCTATTATAATTATTATTTCAATACTTTAATCTGAAAACATATTTAAGGTTCATTAACTGCTAAAATGCTAGATAATAAAGAACACTGCCATGTGAAAAGTCAGTTTTGTTTAACAGTTCTAATAACATAGTATGTTTGTATATTAATTAATTCATGTAGAGTATCAGAAATTTAAAATTGTCAATTATGCTTCCTTAAATAGACATACCAAATAATTATTCTGAATGTGTCATTATGTCTCATGTTAATAAAGTAGGTTAATGACCTAACATACAGTAATTTTGTAGTGAAATGATTTTTCTTAGTTGTGTTCTGTGAAGTATTATGACAATTATTAATTCATTTATACTCTTATCAGGGAAGAATTAACATTTGAGTTTATTCAAATGTTGAGCTCTATTGCTTTTAGTTTTCAGCTGGATGAGGTGGCTCATGCCTATAATTCTAGCTACTTGGGACAGGGAGATTAGGTGGATTATGATTCAAGGCCAGCACAAGCAAAAGGTTTGTGAGTCCCCATCTTAACGAATGGCTGTGCATGCTGGTATGCAACTGTCACCCCATCTATGCAGGAGGCATAAATAGGAGGATTGAGAGCTTGTCCCAAAAATAACTAAGGCAAAAAGGACTGGGGGTATGGTTCAAGTGGTAGAGCACTTGCTTAGCAAGCACAAGGCTCTGAGTTCAAACTCCAGCACTGCTAAAACCAACCAAATAAATAAAAACACTTTTATGTTTTTCTTGCAGTACTGGGATTGAACTCAGGGCCTACACCTTGAGCCACTCCACCAACTCTTTTTTTTGTGATGTGTTTTTTCAAGATAGGGTCTCATGAACTATTTGCTGGGCTGGCTTTGATCCATGATCCTCCTAATCCCTGCCTCCTGAGTAGCTAGGATTATAGGTGTGAGCCACTGGCTGCAGCTACAAACTTTTAGTTTTCAATTTAATATTATTTAATCTGCCTTGGTGTTTGCTAAGATACTTGATTTTAGGTTTCACAAAGGAGTGTATGTATTTGTATTCATAGCCTAATATTTGGA